AGTCCCGGTTACATCTCGATTCTTCTCCTAATCTTGTCGTGAATCTATCCTGGTCCTAGTCCTATCTCACCTTCATCTCAGTCCTGCTTCTATCCCGGCCTTGGTCCTGATCCTCTCCCGGTCCTATCGCGGTTCTATCTCGATCCCGATACGGTTCTGGTTCTATCCTCACTCCGGTCAAAACAAAAACTTGGCCCCGTTTCAAATCCTGGATGCACTTTGACTATCTCTACCTAATGATTTTTCCAGTATTTTAGAAAAATAATTTCTGACACATGAGTTGTGACAATTTGACATTCGACAGAAACCTTAGAAGAATGTATAAATTATTTTTCCTAACAAAAAACTGTTGGTTGCCGTTGATCCGTATTCCGGTCAAATCCTTGCAAGAAACTTGGGTTCTGGGACTACGTTGCCTGTCTCTATTCGAATCATTTCTACATTAGTTTAGAGGGGAAAAGTCTCGTTGTAAAACACTGTTCTCGTTTTGAAACATTTATATTGAAAACTTGACCAAAGGAATATTACTGACTATTAAACTATGTTAGAATTCGATCGATCAACAGACAGATCACCCAAGTTTGAGTGTACTTGCATATCCTTTGATCTGTTGTGTGCAGTCGTGAAAATCTCAGTTTTTTATCTTCGTTTGTTCTCGACTTATTGACAGAATAACTGCGTGGTCGGACTTTTCGTACAGGAGATATATTGTGATACTTCCATAATGAGGTTACATAGCATGCCGGACGTAGAAACTTTCGGTGAGTTAGTAGCTCCTGCTTCAGGAACAGCACAAAGAGATGTAAGCGGAAAGAAGATAGTCTAAAGTCCGAGTAGACTTTTCAGAATTTCTGCAAAATCGGTGGAAATTACAGTATATTCAACCTGGGTAGAATTTCACCCAACTGAATGAAGTGTCGAATTTTTCGACTGCTGGAATTAATTATCCTCACGCTACACATTTAAATTACTGATATTTTCGGGTGATCCTACCTTGAAGAAATTATAAAAAGAAATGCTAGTATACATGCGGCCTGCGTATAACGTTGAGAAAGTAAGAAATACCTTCTAAATAAAGGACATAGTTTTCCTTTGCATGTCCCACTTAGGATGACAGTGAAAAAATACAGATATATTCAATTGCACATGTTTTACCTGGTTTTCTCTTCCGGAACATGATTCAATTTACTTCAAGTTCAACCAGAGATTGAACTTCAAATCAGTACCCAGCAATTTTATTTCCGCGTTCTCTCTAATGGAAATTCGAAGAGAAGATTCAAATCTCTTAACTCACTGTTCATCCGTCATGTTTTTATTCTATAGTAGATATCCATCGATCAATAATCGATGTCAGGACATTCAGGAAAATTGTTTTAAATCGGTTATAAAATATCTCTTAGAGCCGCCGAATGCCTTATTTTGTGGAGAAATGTTTCTTCTACAAGAGTGAAGCGTTAGAAAAGTTTCAATGTTATATGTATAACATTTTTCCTGAGTGTCCTGACATCGATGCATAAGGTGCCAATAATGCAAACTTCGAGCAAAATTTTTTTCTAGTTTGTTCTACATGATTGTATAGAGCGTCGAGCTGATTAAGAAAATATGTGTTTCGACTTTTCAAAATCGATTTTTAAAGTCCAAAACTCAAAAAAACTACGATGTTCAAAACAGCCGGAGTATCCGACTTGTATGCTAATTTGGCATGCTCAAACTATTTTTTTCTAAGTCAGCGTCGAAAACTGAATTAAAAAATTATATTTGATCAGTTTCGAAGTTAAGAGCCTGTCGAACATGGACGTTCGAAAGTAACCGTCGGGGATCGGTGTGGATCATTTTATAAACCTATCTACTTTTTTGTGTGAATAGCTGGAGCCCTCATTTGACCATCATTAAATTTGTCTTGAATTTAGCTCTAAAGTATGCTTTGCTTTTTCTAAATTTTCTTTTGCCGTTGAGAAAAATTCTTTTTTCTGAATCTGTGGCGAAAAAGTGGGAATTCTGCCCCTAATTCTCAATTTTCCCAATCAGAACTTAACTTCTATGTAATAAAAACATCAAATTTGGAATCAGGATCAAAAACTGAGTCGATTGATATGTATTTCGAAATTTTTAGTTGATTTTCATTTTTTGGTGAAAATCTGGATGAATTTTATTTTTCTATGTGAAAATTCGAAAAAAATTCAAAGTAATTGGATAGGATAGAGATATGGGAGTGGAAGTTCAGCTTTGAAGAAAACTAGGTGGCCACTCTGAGTCGAAACGATTACCACATTTGCTGTGATGATGGCACCGTTTTGGCATTTTACCGCAGAAAAAACAGATACCGTCGGTTTATATAGTTCAAAATACACCGAAAAATATGTTAACTTAACTTCTTTCAGTTGTTTTTGTTGCATTCTATTATCTATAACACTGAACAGGACTGGAGCAGGCGGAGCGAATAGATTACTACGAACTGGATTCCTTTATAAGCTATTCGACAAAGCATTGAACTATTTATGCATATGTACCGAACGAGATAATATCTCGATCAGGCTATTTTGTATATTCCCATTGGAATTTAAAAATCGTGAACGATAGACGCTTAAACCAAGACTTGAGCACCTTTGATTCCGACTCAGTTTTTCATCCGCTTTCTTATGCTATATTCACTTTTTTGCAATAACGTCACGATTTTTACGGTAATGATTTCTTCTAAAATGTTTTCCAAAAATATCCCGGTCATGATATAAACTTTCTGTGATATCCCGTTCGGAATATAAGATATATTCGAAACGGGATATCGCTCTTGAGACCGGACTGACAGACATCAGAACAATTCAAGATAGTCGCAGCTTCAAAGAAAAGAATTTATTGTTCTGATTTTGACTTTTATTAACAGTTAACAAAATTGTTAATAAAAGGTCCGGTATATGTGAAAAACATCTCAGTCTTCTATAACCTGATAATTCCGAGAAACGGAATTTTTTCCGAAACATCCTTTTTTCTCCTCTTCATGATCTGTGTCACTTGCGACATCTATAGCTTTTGAAGGAAGAGCCAGAAAACGGAAAATGTTTTTTAATACAATAGTTTTGTTGATCTAGTCTTCTGGCAGTTTCCCACAAAATATCTTAGTGTATCACAATGTTGTTATTGGTGAAAATTAATTCTTCTGAGATCCTCTGTTCTGCAAAACCATTTGTTATCTAAAGTAACGTTAAATATGAACGGTTAGATAGGATCCGTAATGTATTCGATAGAGAATTTGTTGGCGCATCCAACGGTAAGTAAATCAGCATTAGAAACACTTTCTTTCTTTCGGAAAAAATTTTTTCTCGACGGATATCCATTTTTGCTTTTTCGGAAGAAGACTTTTTTCATAGTGAAGAAATTATTTCTAAATAAAACCAAGTATATCCTCAGATGAGCCCGACGAGCTCTATCGAACCGTATAATCCGTTTGGAAAAATTCACAACTTTTCTTATCGTACAGTGTCCTTTTGTTTCTGTACCGTGTAAAATATTTTCTATCGCACAGATATGTATTTCTGTGCGGCTCCGCTCTTCTTCATTATGACTACGTAGTGTCTGAATATTCCCGTTATGTTTCCCTGTTTCTTGTCCTGTATTGTCGCCAGAAAGGGTCAAAGAACTGTAGGCCTAATACCGGCAAAAGATGATATTATTATTTACTATAAGCAACTAGCCATTATTCAACTAGCTCTCATTACACACGTTATCTTTATTTGGATGAGTGACGACAAAACAACTACTCATCTTGTGATCGATAAGCGATGAACATCTAGTAGCTACGACCGGTCGTGTGATACTCTTGGAAGCAGTTCAATGTATCGAATAAATCTTGTATAATATTTCATTTCGAGTCGCCGACGATGCCACAGATTTGTCTAGTGATCAGTCAGAGTATCAATGTGAATCTTGCAACAACGAATATACCAGAGAGTCTCGAACCGAAATCTTTTCGAGTTTACCTCAGCAAATGCAGAATCACTTCAGCGGACTCCAGCTACAATCAGAACTCTTAGATCAACAAAGTTAACCGAGGTAAAAGTCAAAACGGATCATAGACGCTGATTTTGACATGGTCACTTTTCAGTCTTTCAACTCTATTGCCAGAAAAAATACATAGGTGCCTGGGTTGTGATAGAGTCTCAGAAGCAGTTTTAGATGCTCTATCGAATGGTACCAACCCCGCCAAAAGCAGTCGATTGAGTGCCGAGATATAATTGATCTATTGATCTACTAAAAATGTTGAGCTTCGAACTAGCAGAAAATGGTGTGAGTGGACCACCTTGCTATGAAGTTTTGAAAACTTTGCTAGTACTTTAACCCAGATATTTTTATGCGAAAAGATGCGTCTTTTCACGCAAGCCAAAATCTATTGTGGGCACTTGAAAACTAGGGCCATAAAAGGGCCGAGAAGGCTCAAAAAACATGTAAAAATCGACAATAAAATGGGTAGTCTCCGATGATAAGAACATTTTCAGGCCCAATAGACATTATGGATTGAAAGAACAAATATAGGATTCTTTTAGAGTAGACTTCGCACTATCCATCGGTATAAGACAGTAGTAATATTGATCTCGTCTTCCATTACAAAAATTCGATGAACAGAATTTTTCAAAAAACTGAAATTACTGACGCATCCAAGGTCGACTTCAAAAATCTTGCATTGTAAAATCACTAGAAGACTTCGTTCAAGAGGGCTAATATTTTGGCTCTACGGCTAACTTTTGACGCTCTTTCGAACGGTGATGTCTTGAAATTCATCTGGAAAAATATACGAAATCTGGCGTGCTGTTTAGAGAGGAGACAATACGAAACCCATTACTGTAAGGAGGATCGCTTCGTATCATATTTTAAAAGGATTTTTCCCGAATAAAATTTTAAGAGGTTATTTCACAAATGATTTGAATATATTTTAAAAAGAAAAGGCAAGAATCAAATTATGTTTCATTACAAAGTCAGTCTCTTACATATTATTCATTGGTTTAAAGTTAATCGTTAGGATGTGAGAACTTGGAACAATGATTATGATCATTAATATCTCGACAGTTGATGCCATGCTTACATGCTATTTTCTGACGATGATCGAATCCTCTGACTCGTTGGTATTGTTCATCCAAATGCGGATACTTTGAAGAGTGATGAGCGTCATGTTTATCGTGACAACCGTAACCGTGACGACATGATACTCGCTGCTGATCTTGTTCATCAGGATGAGAATATTTTGAACAATGCTGTCTGTCACGTCTGTCCCAACAGTTGGAACCATGTCGACAAGGGATTCGTTCACTGTGTCGCCCAAAATCAGACTTTGTCTCTTGATACTGGTCTTTGGGATGCAATGCAGAATACGACGATGATGTCGTGCGAGACACATCTTTTCATGAAAAAGAAAAAACGTGAACCTGCTGATCCAAGAAGAAAACAACTTACCATATTTTCTTGTTGTTGTTATTGCTTTTATTTCTATGTCTTCACCGTGCGAATACTTGACTCGATGTTCGAATGAGTTGATTTGACATGACTGTTGATCACGACACGGAATAAGAAAGTCAGGCATACCACTATGTCGATATTTTGTCCGGTGCACAGGATCGTCGAGTCTTTTACACGATCGATTTGATGAACACTGATCTGCTGCATGAGGTTCATGTGTCAGATGAGGTTCATCGTCTTTCTTTTGGCACAATTCAGAGTACTGGCAAGGATGCGAAAATTTTTTCATGTGTTCGGCCGCGCCCTGGAGAAGACAGTTTATTGATCGGGGACATGGAATACGTTTTGTTGATTCATCATCATGGCCATATCCACCAGCAAATAGGTCAACAACTTTATTTTTTATTTCAGAGAAGAATGATGGAGATTTGTCGTCGGGTGAAGGTGCAGTGGTTGCAGATTGAGCATGACCAGAAGTAGTAGATGTTTTCATCCCAGGAAAAGAAATGCTACCTCTTTTAAAGTCTTTATCGAATGATGGATGTAAATCAGGCTCTTGTTCAAAAGAGAGAACTAAATTTCGAATGGGTACTTTTTGCGAACCAGCACTCACATGAATATAGTTCAATTTGCTCAAATTAAGTCTTGTTTTAGGAAATTTGTACGAGATCGTTTCTGAATTATAAATACTGTTCGGTCCTGCATTGGAAAGTGTTACTTGACCTGTCTTTTGTTGAATTCGTAAACAATAGGTCGAAAAGTCGTCCGTATTGCAGCCACGATGAAAGTTATTCGAACTGCTCGCAAAGGAACGATAGTTTAGGACAGCTGCATGGCGATATGGTTCCCCATAGTTCAGATATGAAACCGATTCGCGATAATCACTTGTTGTGGTCGATGGTTTCTCAGCTACATAGCAGACGAGACATTGAATATTTGGTTGTTGTACGCCAGGATCGATCGATTCGTCGGAGACCGTGATCATCATATCACCATACATCGATTGCCAATAAATGTAAGTATCATCGGGATCGTGTTTATGTTTCAGACGATATTGTTCACGGGCTTGTGATATGGTCAAAGGCACAACAATGTGATCTACGAATTGGCTAGGTGCCACAGTAATAACAGAACCATGAATGTGTCGTGAATGTTTGATGCACTGGTCAAATTTAGCGATAAGCTTCTTAACCACATAGTCCTGGTAATCCGCACGATCTTTGTCTGTTGGTTGTGGTCCTCCACCACCTGAAGCAGTCGGGTCGATCTTGTGCTCTGTAATGTACAAAGAATTACGAAAAATAGCTTTAGCGGATTCTTGAGCTGCTGGTGTTAGTGATGCGAACAGGGTTTTTGGAATGTACACTTCCTCGATATAGTCAAGAGGAATCAACTGAGGTAAATGGCCTTCGAACACTTGATGTGAGTCTACAGTTGTCCAATATTTCAAGGTTGTTTTCAGATCAACATCAACATCTGTCACCTTTTTCTGCGTCGCCGCTGTAGTCATTATCTCTGCTGCTGCCGCATATTCCTAGCCTGGCACCGAACAGTGCAACTTTGACTCATGGAATTGTTTAACGCGACCTTCGGCTGTATTTGAATCTTTAATCCACGGTCGATGTGTGAAAGTACGTCCACTTGAATACGATGTTGCTGCTTGCATGGAGAAATTCGCATCCGGATGGTGCTTCAATTCGTGTTTGAAAACGAGGACTATATCTCCATAATAATGACCCAGATGTGGACCAAGAATACTGAAAACGTGTCTGTCGGTGCCCAGTGCTTTGTCAGGTACGTAGCCAATTCCAGCTGGATTAGCATGAAGATTCAATGAAGCTTCAGCGATCTCCGTAGCACAACGACGAATAATATCAACATCTTCTTGACTTGTTAGAGTACTTAGAATTGTTTCATTTCTGCGTATAATGCAGTCATTTTCTTCGCTAGTGCTTGTTATTCCTGCTCCAATCCCTGTAGACGGAGGCAGAACATTTGCTTTCTTAGCATATTCCACATTCACAATGGCTCGAATATACTCTTTTGCCCGATCCTCTATTGTTTGAATCTTATGTCGATCGAAGATTTTTTGAACACGTCTATGTTGCTGAACAGCCTGGGCTACAAATTGAGGTTTTAGTAAATGTTCCATATGTTCACGTGACATGACATGGCCATGTACAAGTATGGATTCAAAAATGACTTTTGAACATCGATGTACGTGTTGTAATCCTCGAATCCATTTGAGGATTTCTGGCGGGATTTTTGTTAGTGGCTTTTTATTATAATCGTTGATCGCTGCAATAATTGATTCTTGATTTTTAACAAAATTTGTCTCCATATTCAATCCAAAATAACGAATAACACCACTACGATCAAAGTTACCATTGTGTCGATATCGTATTATGTGGTCATGCGTTCGTCGATTTGGACACTCGTATGCTGGATTAACGCATAAACGACGAATATCCGCAATGTTTGGATGAGAAAATGAGTTCAAATGGTCTTCTTGAGTGGTTTTCGAGCATCGATTCCCATAAGGACAAAGGTTTCGTGCGATGTGAATTGTTTTTTCCCAATGTAGTTCCGATGCTTCATGACAGTTACGACCGTATCGGCATACGTGTGAAAAATGAAGGCAGTGATTTTGGGTTTCGGGAGGAAGAGACTGAATATTTTTGACTTCTGATAATAAAGTATGATGTCGACAATAAAATGGAGTGAACGGACAAGGCGGTTGAAATGGATGACTTTCTTCAGTCATGTGTTTTTGATCATGAAAACGAACACAAAAATGACCTTGACGACACATCGGTTTACAGTGACGAAATTCTTTACAATGACTGCTCGCTGTTCCTCTATTAAACTCGACACATTCCACACCGTATCTGCATAAGAGTACGTGTCGGAAAGCTTTCAAATGTTCAGAACTCAAATTATTGCACTGACCACCTTCGTGACAAACCTGTGGATGTTCAAATTCATTCGAATGGGTTGGGTCCTCGATCAATAGCTTACATTCACCACCAAACGGACATTTTGTTCGATGTACGAACCAGAGCGCGTGATCTTCATCGTTCAATAGTTTGCAGGATGTCATACTGTTCGTCGACGGACAAAGAGATGGATGCGAATAATCACCACAATGCTGAGCATTTTGTAATTCATTACATTTCCCTCCATGACTACATGGCTTTTGATGCAAAATTTTAACATCACTCAAGTTAACTTGTTTATTACTGTTCACATTCAGAATCCGCCAAGGACCGATCATTATATCTTGCATTTTGTGTTCTATCGGCTTGAATTCTTTACCATCGAGTAATTGTTTGAATGGTCGATAGTTGCCATGCGGATTGAGTTGCTGACCTGCATTATGATCGTCAATAATCGCAAAGTAGATACTTTTAAAAAATCCGGCATATTGTTCTGCTACCGACTTGAAGATGGCTGCAATGTGTTTTGGTGGATTTTTGAAAGCACCACAGCCAAAGGCAGAAAGAATGAGACAATCATGTTTGTGATGATGAGCAATTGCAAAAATATTTTCAATTTTCTTGCGTGTACCAACCGAAAACTTGGAGGTTAGACAATTGTTGTTGTCCACTTTTGGATCTCGATAAGCAGCCATTGCAATCGAACACAAATCGGCTAATGGTTCTTTCATAAAAGCATAGCCAGTTTCTTCATTCTGACGAAAAACTGTCAATCCCGATGTATAAATTGCTCCAAATGTGTCCATTGGATACATTCGTTGGCGTTCAGATAATGGTTCCAATTCACAATTTGAATTACAGGAAAAACGATCAGTTGGTTGTCCACGGTCTAGACCAATGTCGAGACTTCGAAAGTAATCAGAACGACGAAAAAGAGTCTCTTCTTGAGCGCCATCACCACTACGATAACCGCCCCCTGGAGAGTCGGCATTCGCCATGTTAAGAAGTACAGGGCGACGTTTCTGTGCGACTAATTGCTGGTAGACATATAGACAATCGTCATTGACTACCTCGATCAATGTAGAAGAGTATGGAGACTTCGTCGCAGACGACAATGATGCTGTCATACCACGTTGTAATTTCGATCGATGATCGTAAACAATTGTTTTCAATCGATTCTGCTTCAATTTGATCTCTCTCTCGGCTAGAGAATAACTTCCTTTCCATACCACACCAATAGTATTCAACATCACTGTCATCCGTAACAAATGTCGTTTGGTGTTGAAATCTATTCCATAGCGATCATATTCACTTCCAACACTAGCACGATCCACATTAGTGTAGCGTCGAAAGTGTTCTAGAAACGCCGGAGCACTCCATTTTAACCGAAAAATTGGGTGTTGTGGATTGGTAATGAATGGCATTATGTTCGGTTTATGATCACACATTTCAGTTTCATACCAATTCTCGGCATCGATCTCACTGTCTTCAGGATTGCTCGAAAATGTGTAGACTTCCATGTGCATGACTTGTTCGCCAACACGTAAAGCACCTTGTTCAACACACTTTTCGTACACGTTTTTGTCTGAAAGTTCGAGAATGAGACGATCGTCTTTCTTTATTGCGTTAACAACAGTATTATCAAAAATTTTGTGATTTTGGATGAGTGAAACCGAAAGAATTTTTGGTACCGGTCGCAAAAGAAGGCGACAGGCGAGTCTACTCTTCTTCATGATCACTTTTCCATCCAGATTGATTGAATCGAATGCTGCCCACATCCGAGCCCTATTCGATGTTAATACAACGGCGTTGGCCGTCTCCTTATTATACTGAATGTAAAGCGACGCTTTCGATATGCTCTTCTAAGAAAGTTGATAGTTGATAGCTTGTCGTAATCGATCTAAACTTGCATTTCGAGGTAGTTCTTCGAAAAAACAACAATCAGCTCGAAAATACACAGTTGCCAGTTGACCACTGATAGCAAATTCTTTGACTGACATAGCTTTGATGAGTTCATCCAATGAATTGGTAACTATTCGGAATATATTCGGAAATTGAACGGAAAGTTGTTCGCATGCGAGTGGATGATGAGTTTTGTACAGATGTACCCATCTGTGAGCCACATCTTCAGGAGTTGGAAGGTCATTACTATTCGTCGACTCAATAACAACATAGGAAACGAGCTCAAGATCAGATGAAAATTTAATGATAGTATCCACCTTTGTATCCAGGATGATTCTTCTAAGTACATTAATTAAATGATCCTTTTCCTCCTTATTTTTTAAACGAACTATACCGACACCTAATTGTGTATTACATTTGATATCGATTACTTCTTGTTTGTGTTTGACCTTTAAACATTGACGAATCATATTCTCTAGTTCTTGATTTTGATCGTTTTCTAGTGGTAAATCGGGTATATATGCAACGTTGGGATCACCTGGATTTGAGGGCTTGAATGTTGAAGATGATGAAGTATTCGACACTTTTGAATTTTCACGTGTTTGAGCTTTACTCATGATCGATTGCTTTGGCTCGATAGTGGTTTGTAATGATTGACGAGTGGTGTACACATATTCATCATCATTGTGAGATGAAGGTACGCACGATGATTTGTGATAGTCTGTCGGTGGAGAAGGCGAGCGTGATCCAGATGGAGATTTTTTATACAATTTTTTTCTCTGATGCTGTGCTTGATCGATTGTTCTTGATGAGTGAATTAGATCAGGACGATCATTTTTGACTGAATATAAATCACTATGGCCTCTAACCGGTATAGGAGAATAACGCGGGGATTGAGAATAATTTTTCATATCGGTTTCGGGATATTGAAGTGGTCGATTACCAGCCACACATGTCTCGCATCTAGCATTTTTACCTTCATTCTTATAACCACAGTGTCGACAAGTCCACTGGCGCACATCTGAAGACGGTGATGTGGATGAAGAGATTTGTCTCTTCGACGATTCTGAAATAAGTATGTACTTTCTCGAATATCGTATTTATTATCCCAGTCGATTCTAACTAGTTAGTATCAACACTTTAGCAGTGTCCAAGATTGGAAAAAACTATCAGAACGAATCGCTCAGTTCATTCATAAAGTATGCAGAACTAAGATTTTCATCGAAATTTGAATGGTACGGCATCATCCGGAAATCGCCGTCGCCGCGGATTCTTATATGTTAAAGTGTTAAAGTGTTAAAGTGTAAAAGGATAAACGTGCATAACTGAGGGTGAAGTAGTGAGGATGAGGGTGGAGTACTTCTTCACCCACTTCACTCTCACTTCTCCACCCTCACCCTCACTCGCCGCGAGTTCGTATATGTTAAAGTGTTAACACTTTAACACTGAATCCGCGGCGACGGCGATTTCCGGATGTTATGAATGGTACGATTAGAAACAAGTTGAGTACTGACGCACAATATCAAACAAAAAATATATTATTGAGAAGTAAGTGCTTTCATTAGGATTGTCTTATACGACGATCATGTTTGCTTTGCATACCGTTAACCCAATAGTCCCATTCTAACAATGAGACGCATATTCCTTTTGAAGCGCACTTATGTTAATAAGTCTCTTCGAAATAAATTGAATGTTAGTATTTTTCTGAGATAGCAAACAATTTTTACTTAATAGTTCTGCACACAGAGAAACGACGAATTCCCAGTGTATCCGTACCTCTCAGAAATACGAGAAACCCGCTAGAGACACATATATATCAATGTACTGTTTTCTAAAAACAGGGAATTTTCGAAGTTTGCCCAGCAGGAAAGCAAATTTGCGGAAGCTTTCCAAATGTTAAGAAGTACTTCTTCTGTGTAGTATGTGAATCCGAAACCGGGACTAGAAACTTCGTGTTCATCTATAGTGTACACATTTTTCTGAGAAATTATAGGAATTCTTTGAGTTTAATAACCGTTCTTTGATCTGAAAAGAATTGCACAATTAGCATTTTAAACTTATTCTTCTACTGTATATGTGATCGAGCTGATTTTTTCTCCAAAAGATTCTCTATTCAAATGTTCTACAAAATGCTTTATTTTGTATATACGAAGTATTCGTATAATGACATCGGGTGAAAAATGTAAAATGTGTTTTTTTAAAACTTTTTTCATACCTCGTCCGATTTTTCTAATTAGCAGATCTTATTTAAATATATTTTTCCAACTCATAGTTGGAGTCAACTTCTAGCAAATAATGTTTCTTGCAATATATTGCTTCGAGGTATGAGTTACGAATATCTTCGAACAAGATCTGTTGGTTGGAGAAATGTGATGGGTATGGAAAAAATGAAAAAATGATCTATTTTACATTTTTGACATGATGTCGCATATTTAAAAAAACACAGAAAATTCTGTTTGATGAATAAAATATAGCATTTCACAGAGAATTGAACAGATAATTTTCTGGCGAAAGAATCAGTTCGATCACGTGCAAAGAAGAGAAGAAAAGTTAAAAATTAGTTAAAGACCCACCCATGTAACGACCTGTATTTTAACGACGTTAACCGCATTTCTAACGCACGGCCATCTAGAAGTTTAGGTCATTTTTCAGGAACATCTAAAGAGGGTTTTCAAGCTTCAAAGAGTTATCGAGTTCATATTTGACCTATTAGTAGGGGACCACTAAACTAGCACAACCTCCAAAGGATTATTTTTTCTATCGAGATTTGGATGACGTTTCATCCAAACCCCTCTTTTTTTACAGGGCTTTCAGATTACGCAAACCCTGTAAATTGACTTTATACAGAGCTTTCCTACTAAAAAAATAACAGAGCTTTCGTTCCGAAAACCCTCGTTTTACAAGGCTGTCGTACCTGTTTTTACAGGGCCTTCGTAAGACTATTAGCAAGGTAATATCCTAACGATAATGCAAGGAATTAATCTCTAGTATATGCTCTGACAAGGCATTCGTAAGACTCTTTTACGCGGCTTTCGTAACGGAATCTATATGTACTTTTTATCCCAGATATATATGATAATGCTGTATTACAGGACTTTCGTAACGAATGCTACTTCTTATTGTAAATGAAAGAGAAAACAGATAAAAACAGTGAGAGTGAATGAGTACAACTACAAATCATTTCAACTTGAAAAGTAAGTAAACACTTCGTTACAAAAGCCTTGTAAAAGACTGTTACGAAAATTCTGTTAGAGGACATTAATTATCAGTTATTTTATCGTAAAAAAGTACACACAGTCTTCGTTACGGAAGCCCTGTCACAGGATCTACTTAGACATTAATCCCTTTGCATTATCTTTATGAAAGCCCTGTTTTTTTTAGTGTGTGTCTTTTTACCGTGTTACGAAAGCTTTACTTTTTACCGGGCTTTCGTAATGCTAGGGGTCTGGATGAAATCTGACCGCGATATACATTTTTCAAAACACAGGACTTTCTGACTAGATGAACGTGGGAAATCCTCTTTAGATGCTTCTGGAAAATGACCTAAAACTTCGAGATGGTAGGTAAAAATGGACAATTTTTTCTGGTCAAAGTTGTTTTCTTACCACTATCAATCTAATTAGCAGAGACAATTTCAGAAAAAAGCTTTTTCCAAATGTGGTGCTCATCCCGTGGATTCATCCTAAACTCAACTTCGTGAATCCCAACAGTTATAATATACAACCGAACGTTATGTATGAACATAGAACATTCTTGAATGGAATAGTCATTCAGGAGGAACAATCTGATTGTCGGAGCCGACGGGGAAAACGGCTCGATCCGACATAATCTTATCGGTATCTCGGTCCACAGATTCAATTTATTTAATTCGACTGTCGAGAAGTATCGGAATGACCAGGGTATGCAATAGAATTCAACTAATGAACTTCGTGGATCGAGATTCCGTCAACTTCTGCCAGGATCCTCGCCGATGAGGCGAGTTTCGCGTGGACAGTTTCATGAAAGAGACGCGCGCTACCATCATGTGACATTCCGACAGGCCTTTATGATATAAGAAAAGAAGCACATAAAATCAACACTCCAAAAACATCAGCCAGGTGTATTATACTGGTTTCACCCTATGAGGATAGATTTAATTGCATGAGCTCAAACGATAAAGAAAATAGTTAGTTATAGATTGGATGTGGGAGGCTACGTTGAGAAATGGAATCAACGTGGGAAAAGGGTAATGTGCTTGAACTTTGCTTAGTACTTGAAACGCGAATCAACGTCAAACACAGTCAGATCCGATACAAATCTGAATGCATTTAGCCCAGGACGAACAGTTCGGACTCCGTAAACGACCTTATACTTTCATATTTTTTTCTATACCATCGTATTCCCGCGTTTTTATTTGGCCTTGTATTAGGATCTTTGTATACAGCGACAGTAAACGATCTTATTTCTCTGTGTAAGGGGACAACAAACGACTGTTTATTTGCCCGTAACCGATCGTATTTCTCCGTATATGGAACGCAGATATACGATCGTAATACTGAGCCATGTAAAACGCTCCATTTCTCCGTTTATAGCAGTTTACGAGCGTCCCTATTTAGCTTAGGAGAACTCTAGCTGCGTCCAAATCCATTTAGACCTTACACGCGTCTCATTCAGGTCACACATAAATGCGTTTGACATCTGAGTCGAAACGCGTTTGACAAGCGTGAACGTACGCATTGAACAAAATTTTCCGACGTATTTCAATCCGCTTTCTAACTTATTTATAGAAAACGCGCCTATAGACGCTTTCGGCTGAAACAAAACCGCATGCGTTTGGTATTTACATGGATAGGAGATGCAAAAACATGATGAGTTTTACATAGAAAACTTCAGAGAAAAATGATGAAAAAGAAAAAAATGAAATTAGTTTGATTAAAATGCCCGTTTTACTAAATTAATTTCGTTTCTGTGAAACACAATCGCTAAAGAGTTCCTCCACCTTAGAAATCGATCTCGGCTTCGAGCGGGCGGATCGGGCTAAATTTTTTATTCAGATATGCGATAATTTAACTTAGAAACTATCAAAGTTTCAATCAATTAAAGTTTTCAGAAAAACGATAAATACTTTTTACTATGAAATAAGTAGGTGTCACGAAAAATGTAAATAGTCAGACAGTTTCTCGTCCGATCCTGGCCGGACTGGTCTCATTCGATAGAGAAATGAAAAATGAAGAGATTGTGGTACCACGTTTGTGAAATTCGACTCCTGAGCCAAGACATTTAAAAATCAATACAAAAATACCAAAATAGACGATTAACAAATATATAAAACAATTCATATCTCTATCTCAGCTTGGGAACCAAACTTCAAAAAAGTGGTACTACAATCTTTTCATTTTTCATTTCTCTATATGAGACCACTCTGACCAAGATTCGACAAAAATTGTGGGACTACTAAATCGATCATAACTTACGAGGGTACCTCTCGAGGTGATTAAAAGCTTTAGACTCAGACTATTTTCATCATGTAGGGAATAGTCAGTAGTGAAAAATCCCAAGTTGGTTTAGGCCCATGCGCCTTTTTGACGGAGATATGAGTTAATTAATGAAAATGCCATTAATAATAATTGATTAATAGCTCACGACCATGATCAGCTAGGAGTCGGAAATTTACACCACAGTTGAAGAT